TATATATATATATATATATATATATGTAATATATAATATATATATATATTACGCAGAGAGAAAGATTTTACTAAATATTGCGTGTGGGTTTCATCATAGAGTGCTTTTAGTAACTAGTGCACAAACTATTTAATCATATCATCATTCTAAATTAAAACTAGAACATTTTCCACTTTTTTCTTTATTTTTTTTTTAAATCTATCTTTTTCATTCCCTATTTTCATTTTGTTCCTTTTGTTAATTGGTTGATTGGTTGGTTTGTTGATTAATTTAATTATGTTATTTGTATTCTTAATACATATACATTTATATATTTTTGTTTAAATTAATAATACACACTCTTGATCGATACAGCCGTTCAGTCTTACAATGTTCGAACGTAGTATGAGTAAAACACCTTGAAGATTTCCATTTATTTTATTTTATTTTATTTTATTTTATCTTTTACGTTTATTTTTCATTTGAAGGTCTAAAAATTGAGCTCGGCTTCTAGCTAACATAAATTATGCATGTGGTTGGAGAAAACGCAGCAAGACGACCACGAAACTTTTCAATTAGTCGTCAGATATTTTTTTTTTATACCTCTTTTTTTTTGTTTGCGCACGCTCTTCTCGTAAGCCAAAGATTGTTTTCTTTACTTTTTAATTATTTTTTTTTTTTGCTATGTTTGCTTATTACCTTCCTGACTAACAATATCACGCGCTGCTTTTAGAAAACACACTCGTGAGAATACGAAGATTGAAAATCGTATATATTAGAAACAACTCGGTGCTTTTTCTTTTTTTCTTTTTGAGGGGGTGGAGGGGGGTGGAGAGGTGGGTGGGTTGGTATTTTCTTTCTATTTTTTCGTATTCATATTTCTTTTTTTTTTCATTTTTTTTTCCTTCTTCTTAGTAGCACAAATTTACAAACGGATTTATTTGTTATTGTGACTACTATAATCAATTAATTATTAGTTTTAAATTCGACACACGTATTCCGACTACGTAAGTCGAATGAGTTTCTTATTATTCTTTTTTTTGGGATTTTTGTATTTTTGTTTTTTTTTTAATGTATATAAAAAAATGAACATTCTCGTGGCGTACGGTGGGGGATTTAAAAATCCAGAATAATTTAGGCTGTTCTAATATTTGTTTTTTTTCTTTTTTGGTTTTTTTGTTTAATCATTTATTTCCGAGTTTGTCAACTAGGATTTAAACGATATGATCTGGTTAACTGAATTGATTCTAAAAAAACGTTGTTTCTCGTATCGATTAAATTAGTTTCATCATTTCTTTCTAATTCACGAAAATTCTTCGATTTTTAATGAAATTTAAATTAAAAAGGCATGTGTCGTGATATTGTTTAATATTTTTGTTACGTTTTGATTTGCGACAATAAATTTCTCTTTCGAGAATTTGAAGAAATTTCGTATGAGCAAAAAGAAAAACATTTTATTCTTGATTTGTATGATATAACAATGAAAAAATTTTAATAATTTAACAAACGTAATAAGGAGTAAGATTCTTTTTGAGAATAAAAACGAATATAAATAAAAAAA